CTTATTCCACTGATCCATCTCCCCGCCCAGAAACAGATTTCTTGACAATTAAGTTTAAAAGTAATCTTTTCTTTTTGTGCTACTGAGATTAAGTCCAGGGTTTTCCCACTGAGCTACATCTGAGCCCTTCTTTAATTTTTAGTTTGAGACAGGGTGTTGCTAACTTGCTAAATTGCCCCGGCTGCACTCAAACTTGCAATCCTCCTGCCTCAGCCTACAAGAGTGTTGGAATTATAGATGGGTGTCATGTCCAGAAAAATAATTCTTATCTGTGTTTGGTTTGGAGGCAGAACATATGTTAAAAGAAAAATTGAAATTTAATTGTACTTATTTATGTCAAATTGGACAAAAACTCTTTCGTGACCTATTATTTGTTTTGAACTTAACAACTAGACTATTCCTATAATTTTGTGAAAGAAAGCTACCAGACTGAGCTTTATAAGCAGGATTTTCTTTTCTCCCTCAAAAAACAGATTGTCGGGCTGGGGAGATGGCTCAGTGCATTAAGTGCTTGCCTGGCAAGCACAAGGGCCTGAGTTCAATCCCCGGTTCCGAAAAAAAAACATTGTCTACCAGTTTGTATTCATTTTCTAAAAAGCCGATAAAATATAATGGCCACAATTTTTCCTGTTACTCATTTTTACTGCACAGAGACACTTCGATAGGTGATACAAGAAATTTGATCCGATAAATGTAATTTATGAATCTGATAAAGAGTGTCTTGAGGTGGATTGTTTAAATTATTGTCATTTTAAAGATCATTTAACTTGTATTTAGATATTCATGTTCTTTTTGTTTCTTGTCTCTACAACAACCAATATAAAACATACAATTGAAACAATATATAGAAAAGAAAAACAGTAATGAAACATACCCAGTGGCTAACACCCATCCTGTTTGCTAGCGAGGCTCAAGTAGCAGACAAGTCAAATGAGAAGTTGGTGTTCAGTACCAACCATGTGCTTTCTCCATAGGTACTTGAAAGACTCATTTTGAAGTGAAATATAGGTATGTGCTTGCACAAAACATATATGTAATTGGTTTATTACTTGGTTATAAAACTAGCATCTTCAACCAATTCCCAAACACCTTCCGGAAACCCTAGGCACTCACAAATCACTAAAGGGCTGGAAGGTATCTTAAACAAAACACATAGTTATTCCTAGGTTTATACCTGTAATCCCTTATTTTTCCTCCCCATCAAAGACCTTCACTGCCCAGGAAAAACTTGTTTGATGCCGTGTCATGGTGCATTAGTTAGCTTTTCCACCAATGGGACACAAGACCCAATGATTACACTTTAAAGGAGAGATTTCGTTTGGCTCATGATTTGGGGCCTTCAGTTTGTGGTCTGTGAGCTCCAAGGGAGAAGTGCTATGGTAGAAAAGCATGGCACCTCAATCTGTCCAGGGATGGAGAGGAACAGGCTAAGGACATTATGTAGTACTGAAAGTCACACTGTTGTGAGCCACCGAGATACATTCAGCAGCAGCTTTATTAATCTACCAGGTGTTCTTTTTCTTTCTCTCTCTCTTTCTTCTTTCTTTCTTTCCTTTCTTTCTTTCTTTCTTTCTTTCTTTCTTTCTTTCTTTCTTTCTTTCTTTCTTTTTCTTTCTTTCTTTCTTTCAGTACTGGGGATTGAACTCAGGACCTTGTGCTTTCCAGGCAAGCGCTTATTCTACTGAGCTATCTCCCCAGCCAGTGTTTTTTAAACCAATAAAGTTTACAGGTCAGAATTAACTGTCACAATCCAGGACTTGTCAACTCGCAATCAAACACATCTCCTTAAATCATACTTTATTTCCAAATTAAGACAGTAACAAGTTTGTTATTCCACCTAAGATAATACAACTACCACACATACAACTACCGCACATACAGCTGAAAATGGAACAATCCCTTTCTCAAAGTTTCAAGAGTTCCAGGATGTTTGAAAATTCCAAGTATCTTCAGAGACTTAAGTCAAATTCTTAGTTATGAACTTCTATAAAAATAAAGAACAAGTTACACAATCCCAAGGCACAGGGTAAACATTCCTATTACAAAAGGGAGGAATCAGAATATAGAAAGAATCAGATCAAATCAACACTGAAACCCAGAAGGGCAAACATTAAGCCCTGTAGTTCCATATCTGGCATCCAGGATACATGGTAGTAAAATATGAGTTTCAAAGGGCAGAGGCAGCTTTATACCCATCGCCTTGCTGGTTGCAGCCTCACGGCCTCTCTCTTGGGCTGGTCTACTCACAACCTGCAGCTTTCCTCA